GGGCTGTACCACCAAATAAATAAGAACAGAAGCAGGGATGGCAGAATGGAGTGCTCACCAATTCTGCCTTCTCTTCTCCTTCCTCACATCACGTGGTCTCCTTGCTGTGCCCGATCCCTCATCACTAAAAGGAGGGCCAACAGGTTGCCGTGGGAATGGAGCAAGGTGGCATGGAGACAGCAGCCCCTGGCCAGAGAGTACCCACTGTACCTCAGCTAGAAGCAGTCCTGGAGCCATGCACTAGGCCACAGCTTTTACGGAAATGTATGTCATGCGATCTATTCAGGAGTTTGAAAAATTACAAAGGGAGGTCTGGAGGCTTGGGCCAGACTTCACCTGGAACTGGTCCTGAGTAGGAAAGGCACATGAGTTACCACCTATTTTGATCAGGCAAGAAAGAGAAACAAAGTGAAATGTGACAGGAGAGCATGGGTCCTTCAGGCAACCTGCTGGAACAGGGCCCCAGGGTGTGTGTGGGGGAGTCCCCCTGCCTCCTGAGCAAAGGCTCCAAGGGCAGCTGGGTACCGGCAGGGGAGAGGCTGGGATGCCAGACACATGAGGCAGCACCAGGGGCAGGCCAGCCACAGCAAAATTGGCCATGTTGGCTGAAGGGGATTGGGGCTCCAAACCAGGGTCTGTGGTGTCCCCAGCCCAGCAGAGTAGGCTATCACTGCTGCCTCTAGGCTCTGCTGGAGCCTGAGGGTTAGGCTGGCCACAGCAGAAGACTCCCTGTAGTGAAGTGGCACTTTAAGGCAGCTGAAGCAAGGAGGCCAGATCACAACTACGGGAACTGGGGACAAGCTGTCCCTGGGTCCAGGGCTGCACAGCACCCCCTGCCGCACCCCCCCGCCCCCAGACCATGTACAGCTCCTGGTTCAAGTAACAAATGTGTTGTGTGCATGCTGGCCTGGGCACAGCAAGTTACCAGCTATTAGGACACAGGTTCAGCCTGTGATACAGTGGGGATGGGAACAGGTCCCTACTGATACCACCTAGCCCTCTGTTTTCTGGGCTCTGGTCTCCTGCTTGCCCTGTATTCCTGTGTGCAGGGCACCCTCCTAGAACTGGGTCACCTCATCACACAGGCTGTAGAGGGAGATAGCACCAGCTCACTGAGACACTGGAGAGAAGTTTTCATGACGGAGTCTGTGCTTGAACTTGGGGAGAGATGTGTGAATGGGGAGGGGGTGGTCCTAGGGAAGGAGGGAAAAGGCCCAGACACTGGGCTGGCTCATCTCTTCACTCCTGGGCCTACAACCCATGCTTTCCTTAAACTGTGCCAGCAATGGGACTCCCCAAGCCTTGGAGGGGACCCAGCAATTGAGCCCACCTCCTGCCAGTGATTTCTTCCTGACCTACAACTCCCATCACAGTAGGGATCTAGGGGCTTCCCTGGTCCTCACAATAGGCCTTTGCAAATAGAGCTAAGGAGCACAGTGGGAAGCGGGTGCTCTGGGTTCTCTCAGGAATTCCTGGAGGCCAGAGTGTGCATGTGCACACTGAGGGTGCTCCTGCCAATGGGTGGGAAGGTGTCTGTGCACAAATGTCTGCAGTGAGCCTCTGAGCTGCAGTGGTGGTGGTGGTGATGTGGGGTTTGGTGGAGACAGGGAGTGAAGAGGTGAGTGGAAAAGGCAACCATAGGCCAACACCTGCTGCTACAAGTCAAAGGGAGGAGTCATCATGGTAACCAGTGCCCCCAGCGCCCGCATCTCCAGTCAGAAGCCTGGAGGGAACACATCACTCTCAGATATTCGCTAACTTAGGTCTCAGCCCCAAAGGGTCCCTGATTCCTGGGTTCCCCTCTAGCCTCATAGAGGAGCAGGTAAGGATTTGACCTGTGAGGAACAGGGCACAGGAGGTCAAGACCCTGAGGCCTAACCAGCCCCCTAAAGCCTACAGAGCCCCAGAAAGGCTAGGTGCCAAACAAAGGGTGTTGGGGTATGCCTCCCAAGCCATTACCAGGAAGGCTGGTCTGGGAGGGGCCCTGTGACTCCAGACACAGGCAATAGACCATGCCCAGCCACAAGCTCATCATGAGAAAGATGATGTCCAGTGGCCACAAAGGAAATCCCTCTACAGAAATGTTTCTCTTGGGTGGCGAGGACAGTTTTTGAGGACATTATGCCTCCCTCCCACCCCAGATGCTTGGCTGCACCTGGAGCTGGCCCCTGGCAGACAGGTAAATGGGGAGGGAAGGGCAGCCATGAGGGACAGGGACCTTGGTTTCCTGCAGAACTGACAGACAAGGGGGCAAGGAGTTACAAAAATGGGTACCGCATGTGCATGTATGCTCTTCTGTGCACAGCTGAGCCCTGGCCAGCACCCAGTCTACCCATTGTGGGCCTCACACATCAGGGAGAGCTGGCCCTCACTGTCCCTTTCCAGGGCACACAAGTCAAGAAGAGAGGGGCAGCGCTAGCGGCAGCCATGGCTTGCTGCACCCCTCAGAAGTTGGCACAGTTTCTTATTGCTCCTCTCAGCTTGGGACGCCCTCATCATCTGCAGAAAGGACACAGATGGAGAGACAGTGGTGGCAAGGGACCCCAAGACAGCCCCCCTGCTAATCACAGAGCAGGGAACAGTAGGTGAGACTCAGATTGGCCACAGGGATGCCCCATCCATGTTCCAGTCCTGGCCAAAGGCCCTCATAGGCCTCCCCACAATAGGCTGTGTGACATTCCGAGAAGCCAGCCAGCGTCTACAGAGGCAGAGCTGCTGGAACTGCAGCCGCCTGGTCTCCCCTCGGCCATAGTCACTGGAACCCTGCCCATCTTCGGCCAGCTGCCTCCAGGGACCACAGATGAGCATCTTAACAAAAATAACTCTGAGTCTGTCCCCTGTAGGGTCCAGGTTTCCTGAGAGCACTCAGAGGACCGGGGCGAAGGCCGTGAGGAAGGATATGGCAGGCGCACTCCTGCCCCTCGAGCCGGGGTCACGGCTGTAGGCGCTCCAGGTATTGCGGCAGTGGGTTCTCCTTAATATACTTCTGGATGTACCAGCATGTGAGATGGGCCTTCAGATCCTCCTCCACCACGAAGTCCAGAGCAGCCTGACAGCCGGGCAGAGAGAGCAGTCAGTGCCCAGAGGCCCAGCTCCCACACCTCCCAGGCTATTCCTTCTGCTGCCCAGGGCTACCTGTTCTACCCAGACTGCAATGGAGGCAGGCGGTGCTATCACCACCCCCGTATTTCAGTTGGGGACACTGAGGCAGAAAGCATTGGTAAATTGCCTGAGACATGTGTCATAGAAGAGAATGAGGCAGGATTGGATCCTGAGCCTCTGCCCAAAACTGTCCAAGAGGCGACTTCAGTATAGAGCAGCTAAAAGCCAGGTGGCAACATGTGCAGGGGCTACACCTGGAGAATCCCACCCCATTGCCTGTCCTGGCTGTCCCACACCTACCCTGAGGCCTATCTCCAAACAAGCCCGCCATTTCCATTCTCAGGTCCTCTGCATTCATGGGGTATCTGTCTAAACTCCTCTTTATCACTTATCCTTCATTTGACAGCTCCTGGTGGCTAGTGGGTCAGGGCGCCTCAGGGCTCTCACAGCCCAAAGGGCTTCCTGTGCCCAGCAGAGGTCACACTTAGTTTTTAACGGGCTCCCAAAGGCC